ACGCCACGGTTTGGAATATACGGACTAAATCTGAGGATCAGTTTCGTGCGTATGTTGGAAACAATTTACTCCAGGTGAAAGCTGTCTTCGAAGCGGTAATTGACCTTGATCCAGTTTCAAATTTGACTTCCTCGTTTTATGTAATTGAGAACGGCCGTCAATCCCTGCTGGGTTGAGTTACTGCTATCAAATTGGGCGTTTCGAAACTAGGACGAGAGGTAAATCAAATCTAGAACTGTCAGATCTTTCCAAAAATAAGAGGCGTTAAAGTTTCGCTGAGAATTGACAAGTCTGTTAAACCTGTCCAACAGCCATTGCGGAGATGGCTTAGAAGAGAAGTTAGAGAGAAAATTGAATGAAGCTTTACAAGATATTATAGAACCCGTGATAGGACTCAGCCCATGGATATCTCCAATAGTAATTGTATTTAAAGGTGACGGGGATATCCAATAATGCATCGACATGAGACGTGCGAATATGGCCATATTACGGGAAAATTATCCTCTACCAACATTCGATTTCTTCCTGACCAAGCTACAGGGTGCTGAATATTTTTCTAGGTTGGATCTGAAAAATGCGTACCACCAGTTGGTTAGTTAGAGGAAAAGAGTCGCGAGATAACCAATTTTATAACTTCAAAAGGCCTATTTAGATATAAACGATTATTGTTCGGCGTAAACTCTGCACCAGAAATGTTCCAAAGAATTATGGAAAGCATTTTGGCGCCGTGTAATTGCGCCATAAACTATTTGGGCGACATTATCGTGTTTGGGAAGACAGACGCTGAACACGACGGAAATCTTAAAGAGGTGTTGGCAGTTTTAGAAAAGGCGAATGTCATGCTGAACGGGGATACATGTATTTGGAAAGCAAGGAGGCTACTATTCTTAGGCCACATTTTGTCTGACAGAGGCATAAATCCAGACCCTGCAAAAATTAACACCATCATGAATTTTCGTCCATCAACCAGTAAATAGGAATTAAGGAATTTCCTGGGTTTAGTCACCTATCTAGGGAAATTCATACCAGATTTGGCTGATCTTACGGATACGCTTGTTGGTCAAGACCGCCCCGCCCAGCACCAATAACTCGACGTGTTTTACCAGAAGGGCCGTGGTTATGCATAGCAATGGATCTGTTAGGACCATTACCTAACAATGATTTCATATTTGTGGTCATTGATTATTATTCAAGATACCAAAAGGTAAAATTTCTAAAAAAAAATACATCAAAGGAGATAATCAATTTTCTGGATGAATTGTTCTCTCGATTGGGCTACCCAAAGTCAGTTACCACAGATATGGGTCGTCAATGACGAGTTCAGGAGCTATTGCGCTAATAAAAACATCAAAATCGTAACGTCCCCACCCTACTGGCCACAAGCGAATGGAGAAGTAGAGAATATGAATCGTTCGGACGGAACGGACTATAAGAGGGAATTTCAAAAGTTCCTGCTTATGAACAATGTCGCCCTTCATTGAACAACTGGAAAAACTCCAATGGAACTGCTTTTCAATCGAATAATTCGGGACAAAATACCATCTATATCTGATGTCGGTGAAAACATTTTGGATGCGGGAAGCGGGAAGATCGTGTTGAGACACAAATGGGTCAAGATCAGGTAAATCCAAGACTAACGCTGAAGCTGAAAAACATAGGAGAGATGTGGAGATCTGCCAACACTGATATTGAGTAGTTAAGTTTCTATGGTATGAAATTCGAAATCTAAGTAGGCATGCAAAGGATTGTATGATTTTGGGTTTCCAAAAAATAAAAAGAATTAAATTGAAAAACGATTAAACTAAAAACTGTGTGTGTGTTTGTGAACCGCGGGTCATTACAATATTGAAATCTATTTAGAATTGGATGCAGCTCCCATATATTTTTTCGGCCTATTTGAAATAGTTGAAATTTGGAATGAGTGATGAAATCCACCACGTCTTTGCAATTGCATTAGGCTAACAGTAAAAACCAGCACAAGAATTTAATTGAGGCCACTTATTATTACGGGAAGTATATACAACTAGCTACCTCGCATCTCTCTACGAGTAACAGAAATGTCTTTCCCATGGACAATCTCTTCGTGTATGCGGACTAAATTTAGCATGTTCCTGAGTGAAAAAAACAAAAAATATGTATCCTAAATCATTTATTTTTTACTTAAACCCACAAAATATTCGCATATAAAACTTTTAATGCATATAATGTCGAAAGAGCCGTGTCATAGAACAATAGGGGTGGCTCTCGAAATATCAAATGCCTCTGATACTGTCAATCATGACAGTATCAGAGGCATGTAAATAGAAAGGTAGGAACAAGGACCACGGGACTCTAGCCGGCAGCACTTGAAGCGCGGATAGGAAAATATTGTTAACCTCTTAAAGGACCTGCACAATCTAGAGAGAGATCCAACGATACAAGAGAAAGCCTCTAGATCAGGATGCATGAAAGCCATAATCGAAGTCCATAGCAGCCGAAGAACGTAGGCTGCCTAGACAAAGTAGGGTATTTTTGGTTCAACTACGCACAATACGCTGCATCTTTTTTGTTATCCTGCCAAAACAACCCAACTCTCTCCAGAGGATTTTTAGTTACATCCCATAAGATAGCTGTCTTCGTTATATAAACAGCAAAATGCATTTGCTACAACAACAAATGTCAATTTCAGACACTTGCTTTTGAGGTGACGGAAAAATCGAAATCGCGTTCTGTAGGCCAAAAGTATAATTTTGTAACATTGTATCGTGTATCGCATACGTAAAGTCATTAGAAAGAAAGCTAAGAAGTTGGAGAAACCCAATTAAATTTTCAGTAATTGTTCATATACTGCAGAGACTGTGTAAATAGTTTTTCAAACGCTATTATTACATCATATGGAAAAATCATGTTCTTCTGATTACACTTATCAAATACGGATTATTATCAAAAACATTATTGCTTATAACTTAAGTTAATGTAGTTTTGTTGTAAATTTTTCTGCATTAATTTGCAAGAAAATGTATTTGGGAATCAAATAGATTTGATAATGCATAGATCAAGAGGAAATCAAGTATATTTTTTTATTTTCCGGTACTATCGTTTGGAAACTGTCTTATTTTAAATTTATAGATAAAATAAACTGTTGGCAAGGACACAATATCTATCTGTGGACCTGGCTCAAATTCGATTAAAATATATCACTGAATTTCTCTTGATATATAGCCGAGTTTGGATTTGCTTCGGTTGAGAAACATATTGCAAAGAAAGATAATAATAAAGTCTTCTGCTTTTTGAGATAAAGCTAAAACAAGTAAGTAAACATTTTGATGCAAAATATACATACAGGGTAAGATGAAAAAACAGCAACCAACAATCCCACGGCAGCGGGTTCTACGATACCGGATTGACCCGAAACAACAAGATTCCAGTTTCGGCCAGCGGTTGCCAACCCAGTATGTACATGTTTGTGTTGGTTGATTTTTCCGCATTGGGAGCAGCATATCCCGGAATGCTTGCTCCGGATTTTGTTGGTCCGTGCCGGGATTGAGGAAAACCCCGGACCTTGGTTCTGCTCGGTTTGTCAGAACGTCATCCACCACAGATCTGTCTCGGTGCGATGTAATGGGTGCAGAGAGTGGGTGCACTTCAAGAACTGTTCCGGACTAAGGCGTTTGCGAGACTACAGCGAAAGGGATTATGTTGCGACTTGCTGCAGTAACGTAGTCCCCAGCGAGTCCACTTCTTCGTCGTCCTCGTCAGAGACGTCGTCGGAGTATGGCACTCCACCGCAGTCTCCAGAACAGCAACCAACACCGCAGCACCTAACGCCACATTTTGCTGTTCCAACTCCGGATTGTGCATCATTCTTGCAATTCAATTGCAACGGACATCGAGGCAAAATAGATGAGATAGTGGAATTTATGAGTCGGAGGAATATTAAGATCGCAGCGGTGCAGGAAACCAAGCTGAATGAAAATTGCAGCCTACAACGTTGTTATGGTTACAATGTACTAAGGAAAGATCGCACCAGAAATGGAGGTGGGGGATTAGCGTTCCTGTTACACCATTCTGTTCAGTACAGACCTATCTCGCTTGAGCTAGTCTCTAGTGACCCATACATGGAATGTATGGGGGTAGCAGTCAAGTGTGGAACTGCCGAGGTAGAGGTGCTTAATGTGTATATCCCGCCGATTAATAGCTGTGAACCGCGTTATTTGCCTGATATTAGCCCATTATTGGTAGGCAATAACCGCCTGGTACTAGGGGATTTTAATGCCCACCATGAGTTGTGGCATTCCGTCCTAGGTAATGACCAGAGGGGATCAGCGCTGGCAGAGCAGATTGACTGCTCCACATTCTGCACGGTTAACGAGGATGCCCCCACCCGAATAAGAGGAGAGTGTCACAGTTCGCCAGACTTAACCATAGTGTCACCCGGTCTGATAAATGACGTGACTTGGCAACCCGTCATTTCTCTTGGCTCAGACCATCTCCCGATAATCGTCTCCATAAGCAGGTCGCCCGATTTCATAACCTCTGAACGCCGCACTTTCCTTAACCATGGGAAAGCTCACTGGCCCGAGTTCAGAGAATTCACCAACCGCCGCTTCAGAGAACTGCCCAACCCTTCTGATGTTCGGGTAGCAGAAAGGATTTTCCGAAACATCATCAGAGCTGCAGCCGCTCGCTATATACCTGCTGGTCGAATACCCGAGATAAGACCAAACTTCCCAGCAGAGGCAGCGGGATTAGCAAACGAGCGTGATGATCTCCGTCGTACCAACCCTACTGATCCTAGAATCAGTGATTTGACAATGGAAGTCAACCGGTTGGTACAGGAGCATAAGAGGAAAAAGTGGCTAGACCATCTGAAGTGCTGCAACATTGGAACCGATATGAGTAAGCTGTGGGTAACGGTTAAGTCGGTGCAGGAAACCAAGCTGAATGAAAATTGCAGCCTACAACGTTGTTATGGTTACAATGTACTAAGGAAAGATCGCACCAGAAATGGAGGTGGGGGATTAGCGTTCCTGTTACACCATTCTGTTCAGTACAGACCTATCTCGCTTGAGCTAGTCTCTAGTGACCCATACATGGAATGTATGGGGGTAGCAGTCAAGTGTGGAACTGCCGAGGTAGAGGTGCTTAATGTGTATATCCCGCCGATTAATAGCTGTGAACCGCGTTATTTGCCTGATATTAGCCCATTATTGGTAGGCAATAACCGCCTGGTACTAGGGGATTTTAATGCCCACCATGAGTTGTGGCATTCCGTCCTAGGTAATGACCAGAGGGGATCAGCGCTGGCAGAGCAGATTGACTGCTCCACATTCTGCACGGTTAACGAGGATGCCCCCACCCGAATAAGAGGAGAGTGTCACAGTTCGCCAGACTTAACCATAGTGTCACCCGGTCTGATAAATGACGTGACTTGGCAACCCGTCATTTCTCTTGGCTCAGACCATCTCCCGATAATCGTCTCCATAAGCAGGTCGCCCGATTTCATAACCTCTGAACGCCGCACTTTCCTTAACCATGGGAAAGCTCACTGGCTCGAGTTCAGAGAATTCACCAACCGCCGCTTCAGAGAACTGCCCAACCCTTCTGATGTTCGGGTAGCAGAAAGGATTTTCCGAAACATCATCAGAGCTGCAGCCGCTCGCTATATACCTGCTGGTCGAATACCCGAGATAAGACCAAACTTCCCAGCAGAGGCAGCGGGATTAGCAAACGAGCGTGATGATCTCCGTCGTACCAACCCTACTGATCCTAGAATCAGTGATTTGACAATGGAAGTCAACCGGTTGGTACAGGAGCATAAGAGGAAAAAGTGGCTAGACCATCTGAAGTGCTGCAACATTGGAACCGATATGAGTAAGCTGTGGGTAACGGTTAAGTCGCTCTCGAACCCTGGAAAAAAGGATGATAGGACCTCAGTCACTTTTAACGACGTAACGGTGACTGATCCGAAGAGGTGCACGGAATATTTTAACCGACAATTTGTCGAGCACCCCGAGAGCGATAGGGCGAAGCGAAGAGTACTACGTCGTATCAGATCTCTTCCCGCCGAGGAGGAACCACCACAGTTTACGATGGGTGATGTTGCAAATGTCATCCGTAACGCTAAGTCATCCAAAGCGTTGGGCCCGGACGGAATCTCAATGGTAATGTTGAAGCAGCTGGATACGCCGGGAGTCGAGTACTTAACGAAAGTTCTCAATTTGTCGCTAGCCACCCACATAGTGCCCGAAACCTGGAAAATGGGCCGGGTGGTCCCGCTACTGAAGCCAGGCAAGGATGCCAGTAAAGGCGAATCGTACAGGCCGATTTCGCTTTTGTCGCCAGTAGCAAAGACTCTTGAGGCTTTACTCCTCCCCAGCATTAGAGGAAGTTATACAGTTGCCAACCACCAGCACGGATTCCGTCCACAACATAGTACCACAACAGCATTACACGCCATTTCCACACATATTAGTAGAGGACTGAACCAGAACAGGCCGTGTGACAGAACAGTGTTGGTAGCCCTTGACCTATCAAAGGCATTTGATACGGTCAATCATGCCACATTGTTTGAGGACGTACAGAGAACTACTCCGGCCAAGTTTGAAACGTTGGATAATCAACTATATGTGTGGACGCCAGTCGTACGTGGAATTCCGGAACAAGAAGTCCAAAGCCCGTAGAGTGAAACAGGGAGTTCCCCAAGGCGGGGTGATATCTCCGGAACTGTTTAACCTCTACCTTTCCGGAATTCCTCGCCCTCCAGACGGCATTGAGATCGTAACGTATGCGGATGATTGTACGATCATGGCGTCGGGTCCAGTGGTCGATGACATATGGGAAAGGTTGAACCCCTATCTCGCGGAGCTTGCCGCATACTTCCACGCGAGGAATATGAAAATATCCGCCACGAAATCAACGGCCACACTCTTTACCACATGGTCTGCGGAGATGAAAACACAGCTGAATGTTCAGGTCGAGGGGAATCTAATACCGACCACGAACTACCCCAAGATTCTTGGGGTAACGTTCGACAGCATGTTCAAGTCGTCCGCGCAAGCCACAGCTATCTGCGACAAGATGAAAAGTAGGAACAAGGTCCTCAAGGCGCTAGCCGGCAGCTCTTGGGGTGCGGACAAAGAAACCTTGTTGACCTCTTATAACGCGATAGGTCGGTCTGTGGTCAGCTATGCGGCTCCAGTGTGGTCTGCGAATACTAGTGCTACGCAGTGGAAGCATATCCAGACCTGCCAGAACGCTGCCCTGAGAACTGCGACAGGGTGCCTCCTCATGACACCAGTGGACCATCTACATGAGGAGGCGAAAGTCCTTCCCTTACGTCAGCATAATCATATGCTTTCGTTGCAGTACCTGCTTGGGTGTTACCGTGAGAGTCATCCCAACCATCATATGGTGGATAACTCTCCCCCACCCAGGCGTGTCAGGAAGGACATACACGATCTAGAGAGGGAGGTCCAGCGCTACAAGAGAGAGCCTCTAGATCAAGAAGCCTATCAGGCAGGTCTGAGTGGCATTCACACCGATGCAGTCGCGGATGCTATTAGCAGTTATAAAGTGAATGCCGTCCTCGGAGTCCGTCGTATTGGGCACGAATTGATGAAGATGTGCGTGACGCCTGTCCGGCGTGCGATACAGGCCCGCACAATACGCTACACCTTTTTAATTGCTCAGCCAAACCTACCCAACTCACTCCAGAAGACCTCTGGCTACAGCCCGTTAAAGTAGCCGAATTTCTAAACCTGGAGCTGGAACCAGATTAGCAGAACACAAACACATACATGTAATACTGCTACAACAACAACAGCAGCAACCAACTTCAGTCTGCTGTCATTTCCAAGCCAATCATCCGACAGCTGTTAAAATTATTTCAGTGACAGCTCATTATATTGTTTACAAGCGTACAAAGCATTTAGGTGAGAATTTTCCAGAAAAAAAGTTATTCACGATGGAATTTAAGCGTGATAGTGTGATTTCGTTATATTTGGCTGGAAAACCACAAGTGGCTATCGTTAGAGCACCCCAGCATTTACATGTGAATAAATCTTTTGTGTCTCGTACCATCGCTCGTTACCGTGAAGAAAACAGCAACATCATCAGAAATGGTTCGAAAAGTAAAGAAGCGACCTGATCGAAACCCGAGTCGCAGTGGCCGAAAAATGGCTCGTGAGCTGAACATATCGCAAAATGACCATGTTTATTTACCAAAGAGGTCAGCTGAAAATGTGAACCTTCGGTTGGCCACCAGTACTCAAGCTCCGGCCATGGTGTGTGCCGCCCAAAAGCCGATGGTCGCTATCCGCTCGTATAAATCGACCGTGGCATCAACTTGGCCACGCAAACACTTTGGCCGCAGACCATGGACATTCCAACAGGACTCAGCACCATCGCACTCAGCACGCACAACCCAAGAACGGTTACAAAATGAGGTTCCTCGCTTCATTTCCAACGCACAATGGCCACCAAAATCTCCGGATACCAATCAGTTGGACTATTGTGTCTGGAGTATTTTAGAAAGCAAGGTTGGCACTAAAAATTCCTAAGTGTCGATTACCTCAAGCAGGGGCCAGAATACCGCAGAGCAACATTCGGGCAGCTTGTGACGGTTTCATTGACCATAGTTCGTGCCAAAGGTGAAGAATTCGAACAAATCTAAACGTATTCTAAAATTTGATGCTATTTCCGACTTTTTTGCTTTCATTCAAAAAAATTTAAAAAAAAAAAGTAAAAATTATGACGTTTGACTTTTTTCAGTTTTTTTTATCTCACCCTGTATTATTAAGACTTTTTTTTGGTTCTTTTCCACCATTTTATGAAAACGATGTATTCAAGAATATCAGAAAACAAGTAAATAAGTACAAGCGTTACAGAGCCTCACCTATCAAAAAATGTTTATATTTCGTACCACAGTTAGTTTAGGATGTAAATATTAACAACTGTAAAAAGCCTTAGTACGAGTATGAGAAAATGAAAACGTTGTAAAATATGTGCGTATTCACTATGTGCTGCAATACCAATTATTGGCATTACACAGAAACAACCCCTTAAAGGTGACTTAAATCGGGAGGAGCTTCTAACATATCTAATATCAGATGGAACCAGAAAAATAAAACGTTTCTAAATGTTGAATTGAAATTAACGTATATATCTAGTATATTTATTTAAACCATAATGGGAAATAGTTTTTTACGCTGATCCGGCCATTTTTTATACGAAAGGACGGAAATAGTTCTTAAAGAAATATTGCATAAGTTTCGCCTACGTTTCAAAATGTTTAAAAAATTAATATGTTACCATCTAACATAATTTTTTTTAAACCAATAAAGGAATGAAATCGCAATATTGAACAGTTTCGATTGTGCGACTGTTATTGAGTACTTACAGTTTTTACAAAATTGATGATTTTTTTTTTTTTTTTGATAAACCGACAATATATGTAGCAAAACTACATTTATGAATTATTTTTTTGGTTCTCAAAATGTTTTCAAAATGAACTACCAAATTTTGACTTGTATCAAGTGCATGTAAGTGCATGTATGTGTTCATTTGTGAAGCTTTTTTCACGATTGAAAGCAAATTCAAAAAATAACGGTCTAATTACAAGTTAGTAATTGAATCATTTCGCTGGCAACGTAACATGGGTTCGGTTGCAATACACAATCATTCAATGGAATAAAGATACATTCATAAATCGAATATAGAGAATTTTTTATTTAAACAAATTAGCTTGGTAGTTATTTGGTAAACAATACAATAAAACTCTAATCCATATTATCTATAAATAACCCAACAGCATTAATTCACACCAAACCCCTATCTTAACTAATTGGTAGAAATTCCATTTGACATTTTTGTACTGTAGTCTAGTTCAATCAATGATTCCGGTCAATAAACTCTTAATGTAACCAAAAAATTTCAATGCGGAAATCTCTTTAGCCAGCATAAAGTTCGAACAATAGAAGTACGCTGAAAAGATAATAATAGACAAAAAGAAATAATAGTGATTTTAATAAATTGAATCACTGGATTATTACCCGCAGATATAGTCAGCAACCATCATTTACGTGAAGAAAAATTCTTGGTCATAAGGTATGTTAGAAAACAGGCTCTATATACAATAAAAGAAATAATATAGAAATAAAAATCCTAAAAAAGCAAAAAAGAAAGAACATGAAATCAATTAAATATGCCTTTATATAAAAGAAAAAGACGCATCAAGTTTTACAACACACCCTTTAACAATCCTCCAGTGAGCACGATGTTAGCAATTTTTTACATATGTCTGCATCGACAATTGACCATTTTACTCTTATCGTCGCGGTTTCCGTGTAGATAGGACATTATTCTATGGTAATAATATAGAAACAACGAATAAAAGAGAAACAAAAAAGAAGACAATAAATAGAAAATCAGTCATTTTTTCTCAATTTAGTAAATGTATAGATCCAGACAAAGCCATAACATATTTAGTGACTTTAACTCATATGTGTATTTAATTAATGAAAAAACTCTATCCATTCAATCACATGTTCTTTATTTTCACAGCCACACACTTGTGACTATGTAAATACCAGCTTTCGAAAATAAACAGTATGGTACTGTACCGTTCCTAGGTGGAGTGGTACACTAAGATAATGCACCGTACCGGAGCACAACCCTTAAAAAAATTAGTGATACTGTACCGGGGCACAACGAGAATCGTACTGTACCGCAGTCGAAGCACTAAAAAACGTAGTGTACCGCACTCGGATCACTACGAAATCGTAGTGTTCCGCAGTCGGAGCACTACAAAATCGTAGTGTATCGCATGGCGGAACATTAAAAAAATAATATACCTGTAGTGTAACACATATGTGTTGTTTACGATTTGTGAGAAAATTTAGATGTTTGATGTTTTTGATAATGCAAAAATTACTAATACAATTTAATTTTATGAAAATAAAAGCTGAATTTATTTTATTTGTAACGTGTGTTTAGATTGGTTGCGAAAGAAATAAAAGGACCAAATCTGAAGTGATAATAATTTATATTTAACCATTGAAAATCGAAATTTTTAATTTTCTGCGAAAAAGGGTATTTTAGTGGTTGCATTGTAATGGGGTATTATGCAAATAATTTACCTGTTATTTTGTGGTACCGAAAAATTAATGAATGTATGTTTAAAAAACTAAATATTTTACAAAGTATGGCTAACTGTTCAAAATCAGTTTTATGATTTCAATTATTTTAATGTTGTGCATGTGGTACACTACTACTACGATTTTTTAGCGCTCCGACTGGGGTACACTACGATCATCGTTGTATTTCGTTCGTTCTACCCCGATTTATGTTTTTGTGCAAAGAAAGTGACCACGCCCAATTTTGCGCCCATTTTTTTGATTTATCTAAAATCTTAATTTTTGCCCAAATCAAGGAGATATCTGTTCCACAGTTAGTATACGACGGAATCTTGACTCTCCAACCCTCCCCCCAACCCTAGA